CCTGGCCAATGAGGTAACACATCCTCCTGGCCACAATGACTGCATCATTGTGGACACATGACCTCAGCTGGGCCAGCCAGAGAGAATCCTGGCACTTTTGCCAGAAAGATTAGGCAAGAAGTGGTGCCCCCTTCTTGCTGGGGTTGCTAAGCGAGTGTTCGTCTCTTCTTTCACTTGTGGGGGATCCTGTCAGAGAGATCCTGGCGATGCAGAACTGGAGATGGTGACAAATAGTTTCTTAACAACATCATTTGAGGGCCTAGATACAGCCAGTCCTGAAGCCATACATGCTCCAATCAATCCTTTGCCTTTTAACTAGTTTGAGTTTAGTTTCTAATCCTAACTGAAAGAGCCCCATTCCACCACGATGAGAACGAAATGTTAAAGAAGGAAGGGGCCTTAAAGCCTGGTAAATAAAGCAAGACATGAGAAATGCTTGGGAGGTAGAATGGGACGGTTACCCCATGGCATCATGTGGGCACAAGTCCAGATGCCAGGGAAGAAGGGACCGATCATGTAGACCTCAGCAACAATGGGTAACGCTTAACGCGAAGAAGTGATGTCCACTCTAGAAGTGGAATTGGGGGCCCTGCAATGTCAAACCTAAGCACAGGTTCAGATAGGATGCGTTCTAATACAGCCTTGCTACTCCACGTGCAGCCTGTGGGCCTGCAGCTTTGATGTCTCTTGGAGTTTGTTGGGAATGCAGAATCTCAGGCTCCACTCCAGACCTACTGAATCTGCATCTTAACCAGACCCCAGATGGCCCATGTGCATGATCAAAGCTGAGAAGTACCACCACAGCATTGTTGAAGTGACTGTGTAGTGTGTCCATAGATCCCTTCCTGCTGATATGAACATGCTGCCAACCCACCAGGAGGTGGACAGTTTCCCCTCCCCTTTTATCTGGGCTCTCACCCTGTGGCTTAGTTAGCCGGGTAGAAGGTGATGAAAATGGTGCTGCCAGTTCTGCGCCTGGTAGCCTCTGCTTCCTCTTTCAGAAGCCAGATGGGTGCGGTGGCTCACACCTGTAATCCCAGCACTTTGTGAGGCTGAGGCAGAGGCTTGAGGTCAGGAGTTCAAGATCAGCCTGGCCAACATGGTGAAACCCCATCTCTACTAAAAACACAAAAATTAGCTGGGCATTGTGGTGGGCACCTGCAATCCCAGCTACTCGGGAGGCTGAAGCAGGAGAATCGCTTGAACCCGGGAGGCAGAGGTTGCAGTGAGCTAAGATCATGCCACTGCACTCCAACCTGGGCAACAGAGCAAGACACCGTCTCAAAATACAACAAAAAGTCAGCCACTTGCCCTGAGACCTCCATGCTGTATAAGAAAACCCAGATGAACCGCATAGAGATGTTTCCTGGAGGGCCCAAAAGTCCCAGCTGTGTGAGTGAGGCCTTCTTGGGCCACCCCGCCCAGCCCAGCCCCCAGCTGAGTGACCCTCACTGACACAATGTGGAACTGAGTCCTGTTCACATTCCAGACCCAGAGAAGTGGAAGAAATACGAATCTTTGCTGTTCCAGGCCACTATGCTTGTGTTATTTTGTCACACAGCAGAAGTTACTGGGGCTGTGACTGTCTTTCCTCCTCACTGAAGGAGGGGGCTGCCCTGCAGAAAGTTCCTGCATTCTGAGAACCATACTGAGCACTTTCTGCCTGTCAGGCACTGTTCCAGGCACAGAGATGGAGTGGAAGAGGGCAGACTGCATCCCTGCTCTGGTGAAACTGGGATTCGTATCCAGGGAGAGGGCAGTAGACAAGAAAACAGACAAACACGATAACTTCAGAGAGATAAGGAGAAATTTGGAATGGGGCTGGAGACACTGTTAGATAGAATAGGGAAGGTCTTTCTGAAGACACACACTTGATCCAAGGCCCTCCTGTTGAACAGGGGCAAGCCATGAAATGATCAGAGGAAAAAGTGATGCTGGCAGAGAGAACAGCAAATGCAAAAATCAAAAAGTGCAGGAGGTCTGGGAGTGAAGGCAGAGGGAAAGGGAAAGCCAGGAGAGGGGAATGAGATCAGAGATGAAGTCACAAAAGTCAGCAGGGGCCAGAGCAGCAGCGTCTAGCACACCAGCCACCAGCCACCCACGGCTCTGTAATCTAAGCTTCCATTTAAACAACAAGTGCAACTCCTCAGCCCCACTGGCCACATCCCAAGTGCCCAGTGGCCCTGTGTGGCTAGTGGCTATCATATTGGGCAACACAGAGACAGAATATTCCTGTGACGGTTCTGCTGGCTGAGATGGCTATAGAATAACTCAGAAGCAGATCAGAACCAGAGTTCAAGGTCAGACCATGTGCTCTTGGGCTTAGTATTCCATTAAATTTCTGGACGTTCCAGTTTTCCCCAGGGTTAAATGAGGCTTTTGCAGCCTGACAGTGAGTCCAAATTATCCACAGCAAGAAGCCAAGTCCACAGACAGTTGCACACGGGTCCTACCCAAGGAACATCATCAGCAAGGCCTCGTCCATGGAAACTGGTGGCAGAGGTCTGTGTAACTGACTTCTTTGCAACCTCATTTAAGTTGCCAATTGGGGCTCCCTGATGTGAAAAAAGAACAGAGCATGGCTACTATTTCAGGGCACCACGCAGAAGGGAGAGTGCCACAATTAGCCAAAGCTGCTTTCGATCAGCAGATTTTCTTCCTTGGTGTATAACATCTGTCCGTGTATAGACATCGCTCCATCTTGCCCTGTCAGAGTGAGGGGCTGGGCCAGTGAACCAGGCGGGCCCACAGGGAGTTCAGCATCCATCAGGACAATGTCCAGGAGGGGCTGGAAATAGGCACTGTGGAACTTGGCACGTCAGTGGCAGTTTGTCTTAGGAAAAAGCTAAGAAAGGAGAGTGCTTCCTGCTTCCTTGCACAAGCTAGGAGGCGGCAGATGGAGACAGAAGTTTTCCTTGGGGTTGGAAAGACCTGCTTTGTCATGTAGTATTTATGACATCTCCACAAGTACCTGAACCTCTGGGGTGGTTACCTAACCATGCTCATCTGAGAAACGGGGCCGATGACACCCACCTCATGGAGTTGGGGAGGAGTATGTGAAATAATCTCTGGAAACATACTTGACATGCAGCAGGTATTCTGTAAATAGTGGCTGAATCATAATCTTGATAGGAAAGAACCAGATGAACGAGAGAGATGGGCATGGGGACGTTTGATCAGCACTCAGACCTGGCTCCTCCATTTGTTCAGTCGACACAGGTTAACTCTGCAGATTGGCTCTGGAGCCTTGGAAAACTCCCTCAACCAGTCTAGGTTCCTCTTTCCTACCTGGGGCCCGTAGCTGATCTCTGTGGTTCTTTGCAGTTCTCCTTGCCTAACAGAAAGTTTGCAGCTGCCCTTAAGGCGTGACTCATCTGAGTTCAATCGCAGAGGCTGGGCAAAGTACTAAGACCCAGAATCCTACAATCTTGGATTTGGAAACGGCCTTTAAAGATCTTTTGGTCCGGCTCCCAGGTGATGACAAGAATCCCGTTCCCTTCCATGCTGACTGAAGAACCAGGGCCTGCACACTCTTGCTGCCTTGCAAAGCAGCCCATTCTCTTTTCAGAGAGCTCTAATGTTGGGGATGGTCGATAGGGAGTGAATGCGTGCTCCAGGTTAATGGCCCTCTTTACACGTGCCACCAGCACAGAACAGTCTTCAGTTTCTGTGTCTGTAGAATGAACCTGAGAACACCTGCTTCACAGAGGTCGGAATTAAGAGCGACAACATAGGTGGCGGGTCTGGTATGGGAGGTTCAGCGTTTGCTCCCTTTCTCCTCCCCAAATTAAACCTGCTGCAGGACGCGGACCACAGGTTGCTCTAGCACTGGCCCCTCTACTGTCTTTTTCCCTTTTCCAGTGGGGCCTAACCTGGGCTAAAATGTTCTTAGCATGCTTGGTGAACCATTGGCATCTTAGACTTGTGTGTGAAGCAGAGGTTGGCTTCAGCCCATCACATATAAAACTAAGGAGGAATGGCAAACCCTAAAGGTAAAATATTTCTCCGATCCCCCCACCCCCACCTCCCTTTCTACCTTACAGTCAGGGAGAGCTAGGAGCCTTCTCAAAATCATGGGGTCCCTACAGAAGCCACTCCTTCGTGGGAGAAGGGACTCAGCTGCAGCTGTGTGGACGTGTTGGCACTCACAGATGGTGAATGGACCATGGACAGACTGTGGGAAAACACGAATGGGCCATGGTGGGGAAGGCAGCTGTACCTCCTGGGGCCCAGAACGGGTCCCCACTGTTTGCTGTAGAAGACCTTGGGCCTCAAACCACCCTCGACCGGGTGCAGGTGGCCCATATGGAAAGAGCCAGCATCCTCTTTGAGAGATGGCTTTGGCCTCTGTCCCCATCCCCCCACCTTAGATTTTGCCCGCTTTCCTGGTGTTCTAATCCATCTACTCATTTCCCGTCACCATCCCAAAGCTCTCTTGCTGTCCTGAAAGGAAAGGAAGCGATTTGATATACAAGCGGGTCACCGGGAGGTGGAGATTTAAAAACAGCCAAAGCAGGAAGGCCTTTTACAGAAAGGAAGGGCCGTCGTACACATTTTGGATGGGAGGTGGCTGCGTCAGCTACCTCTGCTTATCCTGCTATGTGGTGTGTCATTTGGCCAATGGCTGTCCCTGACCTCAATTCAGGCTAGAAGTGATGCTCTAGTGAATTTGCCATCTGAAAGCCTGGCCTCTCTGCTCTGTCTATTCAGAACACAGGTGACCTTTGCCCAGGGAGCTGGTGCAGGTGGCAAGCTGAGTCTTAGGGGAGAAGAGAGTACCACCTCCCACAGATGGTGACACAGCAGGAAGAGGCTGGGAAGGGGTGTGTGCATCAGGTCAGTCAGCTTTCCTAGGAAGAGTTTGGGGCTTACCTGGCGAACCCCCAGCCACCAGTTTGGCCCATCTAAACCTGTGTGAGAATGAGACCCTAAAGTGCTAAGACAGGCAGCTGTTGTCTGTATCTCCTTCCATGCTGCTGGGGGAAGTTCTGAATACTCACCAGGTGCTCCTGACAAGCCAGTGGCAGCCGGCAGTTTGTCTCAGTCCCCTTGGATCTAGAACTGCAGGCCAGAGGTTCAGCTTATGTCCCAGGCCCATGGAGCAATCAGTCCCAAGATCCTGAATGGACTACATTGTGATGTCACTCCACGGGTCAGGGGTGGGCACAGGAAGGGCTGCTGTGGCTGCTGGCATCAGGGCACAGGGCAGGGCAGGAGTGAGAGCCTCAGGCCTCTCCAGAAGCAATCAGCCTATCTAGGTGCTGTTCTCAGCTGAGGTTGCTGGGAAGGAGTGAGGGATGTCTGCTGTACAGAAAACATCAGCCTGGAAGACTGCTGATGAATCCATCCGCTGCCACTTCCTGCCACAGTTTCTATTCTCACCTGGCCTGGGTCACTTCAGTAAAACCAAGTCCATCCTTCATACAGTTTTCCCGCACAGAGCAACTTCTGTGGGTACCCCCTGCTCCTTGCACATCTGCTGTGATGGACTTAAAATTCCAGGGCAGCTTTTTCTTCTACTGGTATACCCGTGACTTTCCCCCTACTGCCCACCTGGTAGGGACTCAAGGAAAGAGAAGTAACTTAAATATTAGCTCAGGAAAACAAGCAGAAATATAAATCCTCCCACCTTCAAGTTAAATTCAACACAGGTGTCCTCTAGGTTATCTTCTATAGCACATATGCCTGGCCTACTTTCCGTTGTTGGTAATTGATAACTTGGTACAATGTATATTTACTAAGCCGAAAAAGAAAAGAAAAACTCAAAAAAGGGGGCAAAGTATAAAATGTTTCTGGAGGTTCCATCCCCTTTTGCCACTGGTGCTTGGGATTGGGGGTGGAGGAGTTCTAACCAAGAGCAAACGGCTTCGCTTTGGAAACTGTTGAGTGGCCCTAAATTTTAGAGTCCAAAACAGTGGATCTTAAACTTTAGGTTGCATTAGAATGACCTGGAAGACTTGTTAAAATACAGATTCCTGGGCCCCACTCCCAGAGTTTCTGACTCAGTAGGTCTGGGGGAGAACCCAATAATTCACATTTCTTACACATTCCCACATGACATTGAGGCTGCTTGCTCTGAGACCACACACTTTAAGAACATGTAAGGGTGCTGGTATCTTAGGTTTGATCCTGAAATAGTATTGCCAACTGATGGCAGTATTCAGGGGTTGCTGGAGAATAAACAGGAGCTGTAGCTTTGGGACCAACGCTGGCTGGTCTCTCTGGGTTCAACCAGCACGCTTTACTGAGGATCTGTTCATTGCCAGAACTGAGCCATGTTTTGGGGAAGCACAATGGACATTGTCAGTGCCCTGCCCATATAGCCTCTTGGCCTTACAACTTCACTGTACAAAGGTAGTCTGACTCCCAGCTACCAGCACCTGCAAATCTTTACTTGAGGGCTTTTACCAGCTGCTGGAGTCTACCCTGCCTACAAGCGGGCAGCAATACTCATTCAATGACTATTATGAGTTGGTAGATAAATACCCCAGCTCCCTCCCTGCTCAGGTGGAATAACTTGGAGTCATGTTCTGTACCATGGCCCAGAGGACCCACAGGACCCACCTGTAGGTGCCTATGGTAGGTCATTCTGTTGCTATAAAGAAATATCTGAGGCTGGGTAATTTCCAAAGAAAAGAGGTTTAATTGGCTCACAGTTCTGCAGGCTGTTCAGGAAGCATGGCGCCAGCACCTGCTTTGCTTCCAATGAGGCCTTAAGGAGCTGACAATTAGGTCTGAAGGCAAACAGGGAGCCAGTGTATCACATGGCAAGAGTGGGAACAAGGCATGGGAGGTACCACACACTTTTCAATTAAAAAAAAAAATTTTTTTTTGAGGCAGAGTCTCACTCTTGTTGCCCAGGCTGGAATGCAATGGCACGATCTTGGCTCACTGCAACCTCCGCCTCCCAGGTTCAAGCAATTCTCTTGCCTCAACCTCCAAAGTAGCTGGGATTACAGGCACCCACCACCACTCCCAGCTAATTTTTTTGTATTTTTAGTAGAGATGGAGTTTCACCTTTGGCCAGGCTGGTCTCAAACTCCTGACCTCAGGTGATCCGCCCATCCCGGCCTCCCAAAGTGTTGGGATTACAGGCATGAGCCACCGCTGCCAGCCAGGTACCACACACTTTTAAACAACCAGATCTCACAATAACTCACTATCATGAGGACAGCACCAAGACATTCACGAGGGATCTGCCCCCAGGACCCAAACACCACCCACCAGGCCCCACCTCCAACATTTCGATCACATTTCAATGTGAGATTTGGAGGGGACAAATATTCAAACCATATCAGTGCCCACAGTGGCAGCTGGCTTGCTAACATACCCTACATTGCTGCCCATATCCCCTGCCTCACCTCCCCACTCCCCTTCCTGTGTTTCCTGGGATCAACTTGCAAATAAACTACTTCCACTCAAATCCTTGTTTCAGGGTCTGCTTCAGCAGGAACCCAAACTAAGACTTTATAAATAAGAAATGGTTTCTGTTCTTTATAAGTTCACATTTAGATGGAGAAAGTATATAAACTGGCTTGGCACAATTCAGAATGTCTGGGAACTGGTGAGTGTCAGGTCTCAGGGCAGATGGAGGTGTTCTGCTGGTTGGCCTTTGGAGTATCATCAAGAATGTCTTGAGGAAATACATGAACTGATATGCTCAGGGGGAGGCCTGGCAACCTGGCCCAAAGGCCTTTTCTTCCGTACAGGGAGTCCTGAATGCCCTACCTCCCAGGGGACTGATTTGCTACACAAACTCCACGTGTTTTCCACCTCCCTGGACAATTCCCCCTGGAATAAGAATATTGAGGTGGAACTAGCACCATATTAAATATGGCTCTTGTTCATGCTTTTTGGGGAGTTTCGGGTGCTTAGAGAAGGCTTGCTTGGGATATCTGCTGGCCTGTTAGGATTAATATGCTTTCCTAGGTGCTCTGCTCAATACCATACTATGCCCAGCCTCACACCTGCACTATGGTAGGATTAATCCAACTCTGCCATTGCTTTTGCAGTGGGCGTTAGTTTCTACCCTAACTCCTTCCACATTCTCCTCCCCATCATCATCATCATCATCATCATCACCACCATCAGATCTCTTAGAGATCCTGCTAACACACATACAATCCCAATGAAAACACCATATGGGGAGAAAGCACTCTTCAAGTCCAGTTCCCATTCTTCCAATCAGACACGGCATGTACTGAAATTCTGGAATCGCCGCTGAAAAGATCCAGTCACTGCTTGGCTGGTCATTCACACAAATCATTCTTGGGCAACATGGCACCCAGCGTTCTTTTCCTCCACATTTCAACTTGGCTAGAGGAAGAATGAAGCCTACTGTACCAGAGCATTGCATCAATAACAATATCGATATTTTCAGTAATACCCAGGACTCAAAAAATTGCCTCAAACAGTCTTTAGCTCTGCCTCTAGACAAAGAATTACAACCATAAAAACACTTACCTCTGAAAAAATGTTCAACATTATTAGCAATAAGGGGAATGCAAATTAAAACCTCTACATGCTCACCAGAATGGCTAATATTAAAAAGAGCAACAATACTAAGTGTTGACAAAGATGTGGGGCAACTGGAACTCTCATATAATGTAATATAATATAACCACTTTGGAAAATTGTCTGGTAGTTTCTTATAAAATTAAACATAAAGAACTACCCCATGACCAAGGATTCTACTCCTGTGTAATTACCCAAGACAAATGAAAACATGTCTACAAGCTGGGTGTGGTGACTCATGCCTGTAATCTTGGTACTTTGGGAGGCCAAGGCAGGAGGATCATTTGAGGCCAGGAGCTCAAGACCAGCCTGAGCAATATAGAAAGACCCTAACTCTACAATAAATAAGAATAAAGAAAACATGTCCACAAAAAGATTTGTGCAAGAATGGTCATAACTGCTTTACTCATCATAGCCCCAAACCAAAAACACCCAAATGTCCATTAACAGGTGAATGTCCATTAACAAGTGAATGTATATTATTATAATGAAATATTAATCAGCAACAAAAGGAACAAACTATTGATGCGTATATGATAACATGATAAACCTTGAAAACATTATGCTGAGCAACAGAGGCCAGACATAAAAGAGTACACACATGGTTGCCATTATATGAAATCTGGGAATAAACAAAACTGACCTGAAACTACAGAGATAAGGTCAAAGATTGCCTGGAGTGGGGGATGGGGGAACAGGCTAAACAGCACAGGTGACTCCGTGGGATGAAGGGAATATTCCAGATCTCTATCATGGCGATGATTACTCAGGTGTATACATTTGTCAAAATTCATCAACTTGTACAATTAATGTGTGAATTTTAGAGCATGTAAATTACACCTCAATAAAGGTGACAATATACACATATATGTATGTGTGGTGTGTGTATATGTAATGTGTAATACACACACACACACACACACACACCCCCCTAGGTTTTTCTAGGAGAAAAAACTAGAAAGAATATGCTAAAATGCATAAGTCGTTATGTTTCACAGATGAGATTGTAGATAATTTTTTTCTCTTCTTAAATTCACCAACATTTTACCTATGCGATTCCACCTTTTTTTTTTTTTTTTTGAGACAGGGTCTTGCTCTGTACCCCAGGTTGGAGTGCAGGGCTGTGAACATGGCTTACTGTATTCTTGACCTCCCAGGCTCAAGCAATCCTCCTGCTTCAGCCTCCCAAGTAATTACAGGCATGCACCACCACGCCCAGCTAACTTTTTTTTTTTTAATTACTGTTTGTAGAGATGGGGTCTTCCCTATGTTGACCAGGCTGGTCTCAAACCCCTGGGCTCAAGCAGTTCTCCAGTCTCTGCCTCCCAAAGTGCTAGGATTACACCACCACACCCAGCCTTACTTTTTAAATAATAGAATGAAAAATGTTCATTTTTTAAAATTTCAAGCTGCTAAAGGCAAGTGCTTATGGTGGTCCATAACAATCTGGAGTTGTGCAAACAGAGTCCTTGGTCAAAGTCCCTGTCCCACTACTTCCTCATTTTATGACCTAAAGGAAGTTATTTCATGAGCCTCAGTTTTCTTATCTATATAATTGGTTTGTTGGAATGATTGAATTAGGATAATGTATGTTCA